TTCCCTTGTTAGCTCTGTCTCACACTGATCTCTGGTTCCCCTCTGCTGCACCAGCATCTTCATTTAGGTCTGTTCACACAGAATTCCTTTTGGCCCTGAATGGTATGCACTTTTTGCTCCTTTCTTGTTGATAGAAAGATTCTTATCTTTTGTCTCTAGACCTGCTCAATTTGAGGTTAGCAGGATGATAAAACTGGCCAATTATCTCATTAGTAGTCTACATACCCAATTTACATGTTCTCATTCAGCAATGTGGCAAATGAAACAAAACAACTCAAAGACAATGACCTAAGAAATTCATTCTGAACAATAAACCCACTACACTACAGTTTGTTTGAGATACAGATTATCGGATTTTCTCCACCTAATTTCTGGGTAGGTTGAAACTGTCAACCTCCGGGTTAGTAGCTGAGTCTTTATCCTGAATTGTTATGTGCTGTCGAATCAACTGTGACTCAAAGTGACCCTATGGACAATGGATCTGGACCTTGCCCTATCTCGTACCATCCTGACCAGCTCCAATATAATTGAATCCATTGTTATAATCATTGTGTCAGTCCATCTTCTTGAGGGTCTTCTTTCTCTATGTCAACTCTCTGCTTTTCTAAGCATGCTGTCTTTTCCTTTTAAATTGAGGTTTTAATGAAAGTTTATAAAGAAGTTGGATTTCCATTCATTCATTGTTGCACATTTTCCTCCCTGCCCATCCCTCCCCCTAGTTTGGGTTTCTCTTTGAAAAAAAAAAAATTCTTTCATTGTTGTACAATTCCCCACCCTCTATGCAACTCTTACTCTGCATGGTTGTCATACAAATAATACCTAATCATATATTCCTTTTAAGTGGTTCTTTCCCTCATCTGTTTGAATGCAGCAGTGTACAATTAGCCCCTCTCTTCTTAGTTTACCCTCACCCCAATGTCAGTCTTGTTTTATAACAGTGGCATTATGCAGTATTTGTCCTTTTGTGGCTGATCTATTTAATTCAGCATAATGTTCTCCAGGGTCACCCTGGAGATAACCCATTTTGTATAATATTTCATGAGTCCCTTGTTTTTCAGTGCTGCATAGTATTTCGTTGTGTGACTATACCACAGCTTCTCTATCCATTTGCTTGTTGATAGCCCCTTTGGTTGTTTCCATCTCTTTGCTATTATGAACAATGCAGCAATAAACACCCATGATGTCCTTTTTCAAAAACAGGTCCTTCTTCTTAATAGCAAACCCAAAGTATGTGAGATGAAGCTTTACCATCCTTGTTTCCAAGGAACATCTTGGTGGCACTTTCTTCAAGACCGACTTGGTTGTTGTCTTGGCTCTCCATGGGATATTCAGTATTAACCTTATGCTTATTTTGCCCAGTTAAGGAGCTCTGGTGGCTTAGTACATTGTGCTACTAACAAAAAGAGCTGTATGTCTCCAGCAGTTCAAATCCACCAGCAGCTTTTACAAGCGAAAGATGGTAAGTCTCCTCCCATTAAGATTTACATTCCTGGATACTTGATAGAAGGTTGCTATGGGTTAAAATTGGCTCAGTGGTAATGAGTTTGAGTTAATGTCCAATTAATGGATTAATTGTGGGGAAAGGTGATACTTGGTTTGTGGAGTTCTGAATAATGTTCTGGTACCAGCTGAAAATGGATAGGCAATGCACTCACCCAGTGGGCAGAACTTTAAATGGCATATCTGTTGTCAACTTTATGTGGAAGGAGAAATGGCATTTGTAACAGATCTATACTTTTCACAGAGTTAGTACCGTATTAATGAATTGGTCAGAAAGTTGGGAAGAATATAATTGGAAGATTGTTGAGAAAGAGGACTAGGAGACAGACTACTTATATAGACCTCTCAGAATGAGATGAAGTATAAAGATATTTTATATCATATAAATACCTCTGGGAAGTCAGCCACAGTGAATGAAAATCTCATAAATCAAGATGACCTCACACTGTGGGAAGCACTTAGACTCTTTGCCCAGTCATTTGGTGTTGACTCTGTGGGCCAGTTTCATAGTGTCTTTGGTTGTAGGAATAGAGGTGATTCACAGGCTCAACAAGTAATATTCCCTACACTAAAGTTAATTTACTATTTTTTTTAAATTTTAAATTTATTTTAATGAAAGTTTACAGAGACTTTGGAATATCCATTCATTCATTGTTGCTCTTTTCTCCCTGCCCACGCCTCAACCCCCCAATTAGCTTTTCTTTTTGGAAAGTAAAAGAAAAAATTCTTTCATTGTTATTCAATCTCTCCCCCCAAGTCCACTCCACTATGCTACCTTGTTCTGGACTCCGGTCATAACAATAATACCTAGTCATATATCCCTATTAAGCAGTTCTCTCCCTCATTTGTTTCAAAGCAGTATACATTATTTATCCCATCTTTCTCAGTCTCCCCCCTCAACCCTGTTTTATAACATTGGCATTATGCCGCATTTGTCTTTTTCTGACTGAGAAATAATCTACTGTTATTAATACAAATGCCCAAGTTGCTAATAGCAGAGGCCCGCTCTGAGTTCCTGAATGAAAAGTATTCACCAGGGAAACCAGCAGATACAAATTCCAAATTACAAAGAAGGGCAGTGTGTGGAACATGAATTGAAAAGCATTAACTAGCTAACTAGAGCAATTTTATTTTCAGTTTTTTGTGCTGCTTTATTGCTAAATTCTTTTAGAGAAAAAAAAAATCAATTGGCAAAGAAAGAAACTACTATGACTCAACAATCTCATCTAGAAACTTTATTTCATTTAATTATCATAATAACTCTGTGAAGTAGAGCTCTATTATGTTAGCCAGCCCAATTATGGACAGAAAACCCAGACTCAGAAAGTGAAACATCACATCCAAAATCTCATTGACAGTAAGATATAATGCCTAAGTTTGAACCCAGGTCTGTCTCTATGTCTTCTACACTATTACTTTTTAGATGACCATCAGCAGTGCTAGAGTAAGTTTCAGTGGGTATCTGCTGCCGACTTTGGAGGTCATTCTTTCACCCTCTCTATTTTGTCAAAATTTCCAAGGGTGATAAATGGAATTTTCCTCTCCTATGTGTCTCAAGTGCTGGTCATGGGATGGGATGAAGAAAAGCTTGCCTGAAGATAGGGAGAGACTAGGTGGTGGGAATATGTTCCTGGGTAGGTAGAACATCAAGACTCCTTTCTTGAGCGGCTTCCCCCAACTTTCCTCAGAGTATAAAGGGAGTCTAAGTTCAATGGCCAATCAATATGTTACAATCCTATCAGTGGGGAGTATTTTAAATGGTTCATTTGGTCTTCTATTTTTTGTGGAAGAATAGACAGCATGAGCTATAAATCTACACCATCAGGTTGGTTAGAGACTTGTAAAGATTATACAGGGCCTGACGTGGGCAATTGAGGAGGAAGTAAAGAGAGTAGGTAGTCTAGTGGCTAAGGAGTTGGGCTGCCAACCCAAAGGCAGGTGGTTAGAATCCACCAGCTGCTTTTTGGGAGTAAGATGAGCAATCTGTGAATTGGTTCTAACTTGAAGAACGTGAGTATTTATTTTGCATAGAGAGAGGAGAATAGGCGGCTACTTTTCAGAAGTGACAAAATCTAGGCCTTGGATGGTAGGCGTTGACCAAAGAGAGTTGCACTGCTAACCCAAAAGCCACTCCTCTCTGGCAATTTGCATCCATCACAAGCGTTGTGGGAGAAGGGTTGTGACTTAGAACCTCAGAAACCCAACAGAGGGCTTGCTATGATTCAGTGTTAACTATATGTAGTGAGTGGTTTGTATTTTTGAGTCCTGAGTAATACTTAGTCTTAATGACAAGCAAGGATAAGTTTCTGGGTCGCCTTTACTCACCTTATATTTACAAGGATAGACTAATTCTCTCTCTCTCTCTCTCTCTCTCTCTCTCTCTCTCACACACACACACACACACACACACACACACACGAGATTTTCTTCCTCTTAGAGGCCTTGTCCTGCTGATGCTTTCTGTATTGCTCAAGCACGAAAATGGGACTGATTCCTTCCAGCTCCTGCAAAGCCCCTCAGCTAGTCTAGGAGCCTCTTATTTGTAGTTTCAGATACACTGTGTACTTGGTCTTTTCATAGTACTTTTCATGCTTCTGGTGGCCTTGGGCTACAGATTTTTCTGGGTTTTTGTGGGAAAATATATATATAAAGTGCTTAAGCCTGGTGCAGAGTGGCTGTAACTGTTGTAATTGAGCACTTGTCAGTCAGTCCTTTTGTGAGATAGATGTTTGAGGGAAGAGGCTAGATCTCCTATGCCTAGATAATAAATTTTCAGTGAAAGAATGAGTTGAACTAATGAATTAATGGTAAAGGAATGAACTGAACTGAGCTTACTAATCAAATAAAACATGAGTTAAAAAACAGTGGTAGCAAAATGGAGATGAATAGAGTTTTCTTAACCATTTACACATATGTCAACAATAAGCAAGCTTACAACTTCAGGTATTTTCAGTGGGAAAAATTCTTTATTTAAAACAGGTTAGATGATCATAACTAGATTAAATAAAATATTCTACGAGACTTTTAAATTCAGTTTACCAAACCCAGTAATACCAGTTAAGGGCTCTTCAGCAATCCTCATTTTTATAAAGTTGGAAGAAAATAGTTTATAATTCTGAGACTCTACATCTTTGCTTACAAAAAACTTTCCAAAGCAGTGTCTTTATCTCCTGGATAAACTAGTGACATGCTAGTAAGAGAAATACTATAATGCCTCAGACCCTAAACAACGGTGATTATAAAATCCAGAGACTTGCTCTGATGTTACTAATAGTATCTCTAAATCATAAAGACAACTCCTACATTTCTTTTCATAAGAGAATAAAAGCAAGAAGGGGACCTACAATATTGATAGCCCCTTTAGTTTACTAATATATGCTTTGCCTTGTTAATAATACCTTTGCTGCAGAAGGTTAAGCAGTGTTTTAGCAAAAAGGTACATTATGGGGACAATGCTGAGAAGCTTGTGCACACAGGATGTAGCTAATAGCTCAAGGCCTTCAGGGCTCTTGGAAATGCCACGCATTGTGCATAATCTGGGGCTGTTGGCCCTTGTTTACTGGCATAGATGTTTGTGCAGTGTCTGGGGTCACTGTGGAATCTGTGGTGGTTTCATCCTGGAAACCTGGGGGTGTGGTTGCATCAGGACCATAGGTCTCATAAAGATCAGCTAAACCAGGAGTCGCCAGTGGGTCAGCTGGAGTGACCCTGAGGCTTCCCCAGCTATGCCCTGCAGGGCCCTTAGCTACACCGAAAATGTTGCCTTTAGGAGGAGCAAGAAGCCCTGCGTGGCCACCATGTGCAAACTCTGTAAGGAGAGTTGGGTTCTCCAGGTTGGCTGGGTTGCCGGCTGGCCTGTGGGGTTCTTGTGTGCCTCCTTCTCCCTTCTCAGGGCCTTTGGTTGCGCCTGGGGTGTCGAATTCCAGTGTAAAGTCACCGCCCTTGCCTTGATTGGGGGCCATTCCCCCGAAGCCCGGCCTTAAGCGTCCAAATCCTGGAAATATTGCTCCATAGGCCATGGGGCCACCTCTGCCTCCCTAAAATTTGCCAAAGATAGAATTATCACACATTATAACATTATCATGCTAATTTTAAGTGGCTGAGAAATCCTAAAACCTGGTGTGGAACAGGGAGTTGGCTGGCAGCTTTGCATGAATATTGCCTTCTAAATTGGCTTTGAAATTTGAGAGGATTTTGCACATGTATGAGTGTGGAAGGTCATTTCTGGGAAAAGGCGATGAAGACTGGAAGGAAGCGGAACATGTACAGAGGGGCAGAACCAATACTCCAGGCAAAAGTTACTGGGACTTCATTTTAAGAAAATAGCAGTTGAAATGGGTAATAGCATAAATAAACCAGCAAACAGATTAAGTTTGTCAGAGGATGTTTTGGAGGGCCCTGTTGATGGTATTTCTCAATAACATCAAAGAAAGAAATAGAATAACCATTAGAAAAAGCTTGATTAATGCTTGGCTTCTCTGGAGGAAATGAATTTTATTTTTCCCTGGGGCAAGTCAGAATTCCAGTAAGGAGTATGTTTCTTTTGTTTTTTTGCTACCAAAAAATTTTAAACAACATTCTTTAAACATTTGGGTAGGGTTTTGCTACTTGTACATCTCTATTCTTATTTCCTTGCAATTTTAACTCATTGTAAATGAGATACTAATGTTTTTTCGTGTATTCACTGTGTGTTTTTTCAAGATACCATGTGATCTTCTGAGAACAAGCATAAAGAAATAAATATAAATTATAAGATGATTATTTACTATATACTTGAACTTCAATTGCATTAGTGTTATGCAGATAAAGTGTTCTATTCTTTGCTCCTAATCTCCTCACTCTTCAAGTCTGTTTTTGCATCTTCTCCTCATGGGATCGCACTGTGAGATCTCCTCTGGGCTAGGTACTGCCTCTCCTCTTAGTTTTATTGCTAATATTATCACATGATTTTGACACTATTTGCCCTGCCGTTGGAGTATCAAATATCAGAATGGCTTCCCAAAGTGGACAGTGTTTGCTGGAGCTCCCAGTTGTAAAACAGGTTTGGAAGCAGGAGTTGCATCCACTTCCTAAACCACATGCCTCTGAAAACTCTATGAACTTGGTGAAATGACAACAGTTATGGAAAGGTATTAGGCCTTTTGTTCATAGAGTTGCTATGGGTTGTGCTCGACTCGATGGCAATTCAACAACAACAACCATGGATTAGTATAAACTCCTTGAAAATAGAAACTTTATCTTGTTTGCGTAGTATTTTTCTAAAACACAAAGGGCAGATTCAAATGTTGTGATTTTTCTACCCTGTGATGCTACGTGTGTATTTATGAATTTGGTGAGTTTTCAGTTGATAATGACTTCTAATTCAGTATAATTTTCCCTTTGCTCTGTGCTATAATAGATGTAACAACAAATGCTGAGGGAAAAGGTAAAGTTGTGTGGGTTTTTTGATCTCAAATTTGAAATTTTTAATAGGCATGAATATAGATCTCTGGTGGCATAACATAATAGGTGTTGAACATCAAACTAAAATCAGCCACTCTACAGGAGTTTCTCCTGGAGAAGACAAGCAGTCTTCTGTAAAGATTTACAATCTCAGAAACTTGATGGAACATCACCAGGAGTTGGGAACATCTTCAGATAATAACTTTGACTTTTATGCATAGATAACGATAGCAGAATAAGAACATATTATTATATACTTATACATCTTGAATGTTACAACAAAAGTTTAAATTGGTTCATTTCAGAATATTGAGATATGAATTTGTTGTGTTGGGGCGGTAAGCTGTCTGAGATGGAATAAGAAAGCCCTAAATGGACTGTTGGTGTCGTTAGGTGCCTTTAAGTCAAAACCAACTTATAACTGACCTTTCAGCAGATTTTCAAAGGCTATAAAACACATGGGAGGAGACTACCCATCTTTCTCCCATGGAGTAGCTGGTGAAGTTGACCTGCATGCTTTTCAGTTGGAAGCACAGCTCCTTACCATTAAACTATCAGAGCTTCCTCTGTATTAATTACATATATCATTTTTTGGTCTGAAACATTTATAGTTCAGTGATGAATTGCCTCTGAAAACCTGCTAGAAGGTGAGCTATGGGTTGATTTTGACTCGAGAGTACACACAGCAACAGCAAGGATAGCTTTTCAAGAAGGATTTCTCTTGTGATCATACATAAAGCAGTCCTGGGTTATGACTTAAAGCAATTTAAGTCCGCAATTTCAAGAAAACATAACATAATGACAAACTCTCATCAATAAATGAATAGAATTAGTTCTTAATATAATAAACGGAAATCTTTGTATGAGAAATTCTTGTATTTTTAAAGAAAAAAATTGGACTTTTGTCTTATATCTTTCTACTTATCTAAAGTATAAGTCTGGAGATTTTGTAAGTGTCTTCTCAAATTTAAGTTTGAAAAGTTGAATTTGTTAAAAAAATAGTGATAATTTTGAAAAGACCACATTAAAAACATAATGAAATCTTGTTCTGATGGATGTGGCTTTGAAGCCATGCATTTGGTTTTGGAGTGGAAATTCTGAGATTTCATGCTCTTTATTTTGTTTCATTCATAGTCAATGTTTCTTACAGCCAACAAGCAATGACTCTTAATCCCTGGCTACTATTTTAAGAAGAAAAGTTTGAAGACATTACTCACCACCATTTCTTCTGAGCTCATGATGCCAAGTCTGCCTGGAGCATTCTGTTAAAAAAGAAACACTGCATCACGTTTTTTTGCCAGCTGTTTTCCATTACCTTCTCAGCTACTCAAGACAACGTTAAAAGCTATCTAATTTCCCTTTAAATCTTAACACTAATGCACATTCCAGAGATAGAGATTATTGAATAAAGATAGCCAATATGTATAATCCAGATAAAAATTTTCCTTTAATGTCATTTTATATCTATGTATGTATGTCTGACTAAAATTAATCAAATAAGAACTTGCCTTCTTGTCACTTCAGTTGGAAATTTAGGCATTCAAAGTGTATTTATATGTGATATATTATGTGAGGCCTGCATTTTATAATTTTAAATCTTGATAAAAATTATAATAAAAATAACTTTCAAAATAGAGTATGTGCTTACCAATTGATTTGCTCCATAGGGCATGTAAAACATTCCTGGATAAAGCTAAACATAAAGACAATGATCATTACAAAATAAATGCCTTTTCCAGGGGATTCACTTTTAAGTAAATGTCAAATGGAATTAGAATGAAAACACTTACTGGAGACTGTTTAGTTTGTGTCACTGGTCCTTGAGATATCAAACGGGCAATTTGGAGCATCTTTAAATAGTGGGAAATTGATTAAGTAACTAATATTTTCCATAATATACAACATCCTCATTCTGATAACTGCTAAGAGTTATATGAAAGATAATTTCAGTAGACGAGGACCAAAAAAGAAATATTTAACATTTCAAAGCAAGAAGCCATTGTACTTCAAATCTTTTCCCAAGAAAGCATTGATATCTATACTTACTGTTGGGACTTGTGGATCAGCAAAATTAATTTCTGGTAACTGTAAGACAGACAAAATTACCAAAATAGGCAGAATGAATCAAGCATACTTGTATTTAATGATTATAATAACATTATAATAAAATGTAGATGTAGTTGAGTGAGTAAGGAGTTGCACAGCCTGTTCAAATACAGGCAGTTTGAATCCACCAGCTGCTCCATGGGAGAAAGATGGGCATCTCCTCCTGTGCAATTAATTCACTGCTTCAAAAACTCACTGGAGGGTCAGCTGTGAGTGGGTTCCAACTGGCCGGCACACAGCAATAATATCGAGATCTTTTCCTAAGAAAGTATTGAGATCTATACTTACTGTTGGGCCTTGTGGACCAGCAAAATCAATTTCTGGTAACTGTAAGACATAAAATTACCACACAGTCAAAATAGGCAAAGTAAACCAGATACACTTGTATCTTATGAAGCAGGAATGACATCCACTCCCTAAACAACATGCCTCTGGAAACTATGAACTTGGAGAAATGATGATATAACTAAGGTTAAGCAAGGCTTAAGGTCTTTTGTTCATAGGCTTTTCATGAGTTGTGCTTAACAATACAGTGATCAAAACCAATAATAACATTATAATAAAATGTAGCTGTGGTCTAGTGGGTAAGGATTTGCACTTCCAATCCAAATACAGGCAGTTTGAATCCACAAGCTGCTCCATGGGAGAAAGATGGGTAATCTTCTCCTATGCAATTTACTGCCTCTGAAAACCCACTGGAGGATCAGCATAATGGGTGGGCACATAAGAGCAATATAGGGATCTTTTCCAACCAAGTGTTGAGGTCTATACTTACTGTTGGGTCTTGAGGACCAGCAAAATTAATTTCTGGTAACTGTAAGACAGATAAATATGAAAATTATCATCCAATCAAAACAGGCAAAATATGAACCAGGCAGACCCATATTTTGTGATTGTAATAAAATGTAGATGTGGTCAGGTGCATAAAAAAGTTGCATTGCCAGCCAAATGCTAGCAGATTGAATCTACCAGCTGCTCTGTGGAAGAAAGAGGGACAATCTCCTCCCATGCAATTTAGAGCCTCTGCAGATCTGCGGGAGGGTCAGCTATGAGTTGGTTCCAACCTGAGGGCACATAACAACAACAACAACAACAACAACAACAACAACAACAACAACAAACGAGATCTTTTCCCAACCAAGTATTGAGGTCTGTACTTACTATTGGACCTTGTGGACCACCAAAATTCATTTCTGGCAACTGTATGATAAACAAATATAAAAATTACTACACAGTAAAAGGCAAAACAAATTAGGCATACTCTTATTTTGTGATTATAATAAAGTTATAATAAAATGTAGATGTTATTTCCTAATTTCATTTATTTTTTTTTAGTCTCCTGGGATTATGACACTACAGTGATAACTGTATGACTGCCCTTTTTTTACTGCCATGACTCAAGGAGATGGGGCACGGCTATCACTGTAAGATGGAAGGAAAGGTATAGAGTCTGGAATTGGAAAGTATTAGATTTGAATTCTGATTTTATCTCCTTGAATGTCTGTGTAACCCTCAGCATATTTTATAGTGTGAGTCTAGGTTCTATCCTTAATTAATAGAATGAAAAAGTCTACTTTTATATGGTTGTTGTAAGAAATGATCAAATGCTTGGAACGTGCTAGCTAGCTGGTACATCCCATTTCTGTCCATCGTTTCTTTAAATTTTTACATTTTGCACTGCCATCTTCTTTATGGATAAGCAAGCAGAGATATAATGATAATTAATAATAATAATTATACAAAACACGTTGATGGCCAAGTGTAAGGAGCTGCATTGCAATGCTGAAGACACACAGTTCAAATCCACCAGCTGCTTTGTGGGAGGAAGATGGGTAATCCCCTCCTGAGCGATTAAAACTGCCTCTGAAAACTCGCTGGAGGGTCAGTTGTCAGTTCTGACTCAGTACACAACAACAACAACAACAACAACAACAACAACAACAATACAAAACACTAGTTGCTATTTTATCAGTCGTTCTTCTCAGTTTCTCCAACTCTGAATTCGACCAGTAATAGGAAGCCTCTTAGTCTCTAGCCTTTCCTGTTTACTCTGAAATCTCTCCTGTTTTGTAACTCAGAAACCAAGTTGGGGTTTTTTTCACCAAAGATCTCAATTCCGTTTTGTTACAGATTCAAATTTATCAAGGAAGAAACCAAGTTTTACAGGCTTTTTTAGAATCCATGCTCCTTTCCAGTGGCATAGGACTGAATGACTACTTTGTTTTGGCCCACAGAGTCCCAGATATGTCAGACCGTGTAAAACCGTGTTTATATTTTTGTGCATGCTACTCAAAGGCTGTGAATATTAATACATATCTTGCAAGTGGATTTTTCTTTCATTAAATTATTCTCCTCTGCCATTGCAAAAAGTCACTTACCTCAGCCTTTAGTGGCTTTTCTGATGGTGCCACCTGCTGCTGAACCATTGGTAAATCAGATTGCTGCAAAGGTGGCAGTCCCTGGTGAATCGGAGGCTGTGGCCCGATCTTTGGGGCGGTGCCCTGGAGGACTGTTGCAGCAGTGGGCGCGGAAGGTTTCTGCCCAGGCTGTTGGGGCTGCAGGGACTGCTGTGATGGGAGAGGTGGTGGATGAACAGGCAAAGAATATTCATACTAAAAAAAAAAAAAAGAATATTCATACTGTAGAGATATTGAAAATGGAGGTCAGAAATTGTGATGGTTAGCTTTTCTAAATCAGAAGGGCTTGGGGTAGGTGTTACTTGGAAGGGGAAGGGAAGGTGAGTGTCTTGGAACTGCATTTACATAGAAGACACAAATATGCTTAGAGACTATGTTATTTGGGAAGTCTCTGACAATGCATTTTGCTGCTAATGGAAAATTTGGATACGGAGTTGATCTGTCAATCCAAAGACAGGCAGTTTGAATCCACCAACTGCTCTGCAGGAGAAAGATGGACAATCTCTTCTCTCACAATTTACAGCCTTTGAAACCACCTGGAGGGTCAGCTATGAGTTGGTTTTAACTTGATGATACTTAACAACACCACAACTCCAGAGGCATCATATTCTTTGGGGAAATCTGTGTAACCTCCAATATCTTCACCTCAGTTGGGCCTGACCCTTCTCATGAAGATGTAAAGTGACTTGTACTTCCTGATGGAGTTTGCCATTTCTTGCTGTAGGCTCACATAAGTGGCATAGTGTTTAGCTTGAGCTATTACCCATAAGGTCAGTTCAAATCTACCGGCTATTTCATGGGAAAAAAAGAGGAGCGGTTTCCTCCCATAAGAATTTAGAGTCTTGAAAACTCAATAAAGTGTTGCTGTGAGTTAGAACTGTCTCAAAGCAGTGGATTTGTTTATTTTAGTTTGTTTTAGGCTCTCATCGCAAGCTGTCCTTTTTTCTTACTGGATTAAAATTATTAGTTTTTTACATTCAACAAACTCAGATATTGTGTTGTTGTTATCTGCCATAGAGTTGGCCACTTACTTATGCACAACAGAATAAAATGCTATTTAAGGCCTGTGGCATTCCCTTTCTTGGTAGTATATCAGATTTTTGTGATCTATAAAGTTTGTATTAACTGTTTTCAGAAATATATCATCAGGTCTTTTCCCCTTGGTATCTGGAAGCTTGGTAGCAGTGTATACAGCAGCGTAGCCACATTCTTGTTTCCACTCACAGAAGTGCATGAAGTTTATTGGCCAGGAATTGAACCTGGGCTCTCCATTCTGGAAGATGACACCTCTACTCCTAAACCCAAGTATAGAAAAGGCAAATAGGAGGACAGTTTTAAAGTCTGAAATGTCAAATACATCGATGCAATGTACCTGTTGAGTTTCGTGGTCTCTTGGTCGTAGCCATGGGAAAGAGGAATGTGGTGGGAGGAGACCATGCAGCCACAGAGGGTTGAAAGATTTCCCGAAGCCAAATCTAGAAAACTAAACACATAGGGAGCAAAAGATTTTAATATTGGCTTAATGTAGGACACCTTTCTCAAAAGTCCTCAGGAAGTACAGAGATAGGAAAAGTGTTGTTGATCCTAAACACTAGAAAGTGAACTCTTTTAAAAGTTTTGCATTCAGTTCTGCGCCAGAGGGTAACAGTCCCATAAATTTGAGATTTAGCTTTTAAGACCTTCATTTATTCTTATAGCATGTAAGGTATTGTTATGAATCACAGTGGCACTCCTAACGTTATTACCGTCACCACTATGGATATTAGTAATAAGAAATATTTGATGCGGCAATGAATGAATGGAAATCCAAAACCTCTGTAAATGTTTATTAAAATTAATAAAAAAAGAAAAAAAAGAAATTGAAACTTTATTAAAAGAAATGCAAAAGGCATTTACCAAAGTACATAAAAAAAGAAATATTTGAAAATTGTAATTACCTGAGGAAGTATGTTTAATCCCTGCAAACGTCCCAACTGTCTCATTGTCTACAAAGAGAAAAAAAAATAGGTTAGTATTTAACATGTATTATGAATTTTTGCTGTGATTTTTAACTGATTTTTCTGACATATGACATCAGCACAAAGTATGAGTCAACTTGAATAAATGAAAATGAGATATAAGTTACTACTGAAAAGTGGTGCAACCCCTGTGGAAAGCAGTATGGCGCTTTCTCAAAAAGTTGCAAATAGAGATACCATTTGACCCAGCAATTCCACTACTGGG